GACTCAATAGTTGATTGCAATTGTCTACAAGTTGAAAACAATGTTGGGGTATTTAAATAAAAGGTAGAAGGTACAGTTTTCTCTCCCCTAACAATTTTTAAAACATCATATTGTTATATCCAGTCTGTGTTAATATAACCGCTAAGATGAGTATCCTATTCAAAAACAAATAACATAACCTCTTACCACAATGATTAAAATGGTGCACTCATTATGAGTCATTTGTGGGTAAAGATTAACTGGATAGACTTATTGTGATACATCTGATCTTTTTAACAAACTTGTTTTACTTTGTTGAATGTCAGAGCTAAAAGATTTAAATATATTTTGACCTGTATTATTACAGCATCTTAAAATCAAACTTGTATATAAAATTTATTCTCATTTTTCTTACGTGTGGAATTGTTCCTATCTTTCAAAAAGATTTCAAAAGGGCACATATTCTGCGTTTTTTACTTAACACTTCTTTTGGCACTTCCTGTAGATTAACATCTTACATTTTTGACATTTTTATAACTGCATTTTCACTTCAGGTTTATCTCCAAGAACTGTTATTTACATATTTTCTTCTCTTCTTTTCTTGGCAGAGTGTGTGTGTGTGTGAGTGTACGCACACACACGAGAGAGAGAGAGAGAGAAAAAGAAAGAGTTGCATAAGAACATATCAATTTCAAAATCCGATTTCACCATAATTCTCTTTCCAAAAAGCACATTAAAAAGCTTGTACATGCTTGACTGGTTCTATTCTCTCAGAGTCCTGTGAAAGGAACACCGACCCCTTGAGTGGCAGATTTGAAGTTGATCCCACTTCTGAAAATCTGTTTTTCCAACAGCTTCAAGGCAAGATTTTCTACCTGAAAACGCTCTGTGTGGGCACCTATGCACCCTGAGTGTCAGAAACTTTTAACTTTCAGACAATGATTACTTGTATTTCAAAGAACTGAATATAAAAACTAAAAGAGGCAGACTAAATGTAACTTGCTCTGATACCATCATGAACGATACAGGTTTGCAAACAAATGAGATCCTTTCAATAATGAGACAGAAAAAACTGTGGTCTAAATATGCTGCTGCTGCTGCTGCTCCCATTCTGTCCAAGGCCCAAGGATGATGATGATGATGATGATGAATGTAAAGGCAGATCATTTAAAAACAACTGCTCCATTTTATCAAAATTGGTTGTGCTATCAAAAGTTAAAACCAGACAGAATATTTACACGATCTAAAGCAAGCAACTGTCATCTTTTTGTAATAATGAAGGAACAGTTCTGCCTTCCGCAAAGTAAATGTGGAGATGTATTACCGAATAACTTCTTATTTCCCTGCCTCATTTGATAAAGAGTCCATGGACTAAATTTTAAATCTTAATGGAACAGTCTGTGAATCCTGACTGTAATAATGTCATTTCTATAAAATGCATCACATTAATTTTGAAATAAGCAATTGGTGAAATGAAATGAATGTTTATATTCAGGTGCCCAAGTGAAGTGGGATACAGGGTGTTAGGGACAGAAAAACAATCTGCCTGTTTTCCTTTTCATTCAAGCAGATTTTTCTCAATTGTAAAAATAGCCTGGTTTTCCAAGCTGTGCCCTGTTTGAGGCACCATTAAATATTTCCAGCAATTTAAGCAAATGATGTGGTGTAATTCAATGCTGCTGGTGGGAGCATAGTCTCTCTCTCTCTCCCTCTCTCTCTCTCTCTCTCACACACACACACACACACACTTTTATTTTCTATAAGATGTGCTTGGTTGTGACTCTCTCTCTCTCTCTCTCTCTCTCCCCCCCCAGTCACTGCATGTAATAATATGATTTAGTGATGCTGGTTAACCAGCCCACAGCTCATACAAGGAAAACAAAAAATAGAGCACACTACCTATATATCAATTTTTTTTCACCTTCACCCTCCTGAAAAACCTTCATTATCATTCTCTACATCAAATACAAACATCTTTCTTATCACACTTGATTCACCCAACTACTTTTGTTTTTCTGATATTTCCAGACATCAGATTCACACTAAGAGGTTTCTGAAATGGCCACGAGGGCATCAATCTGATATTTACTTTCCACATATGTAGTGTTTTCATGGCTGTAGTCCCAAACATCTTAACCAGAAACAGTTTTTGGATTAATTAATAGGTAATGAGTCAAGCAGCATTCTCTTTTTTTTTATTCATTTGTTGATGAAGATTTTTCCTATGAAAAAGAATTTGGGTAGCATCAAGGGTAGCATTTGAATAAGACCCCCCCCCAATTTTTCCATAGGCACACCAGGAATACATAAATATTTCAAGCATATTGACTTTTTAAAATGATGGTAAAAAGTCTGTGAGACATTGTTAAGTCACCTTTTATCACACCATTTAATGTCCTGTTGTATTTCTTGTCGCCATTACAAACCTGAGACTGTGAGAAATGAATACAATCTTACAGAGACAAAAACATGTCTTTCATCTGCCAAACTGACAGAATTGATTTTTCTTTCAGTTTAAACTTTTTTCCTACAACTCAAACTAAACAACTATTGGAAATGGAAAAGAAAGATGTTTTCACCCTCTACCTAACCTACACCCCCACATCCATAACATTTGTTCAAATTCAAATAAATTAACCAAATTAGATGATACTTTGCCCCTTTCCTAGACATATAACTATTTAGACACCCCCACAACATCCTTAAACATTATAAAAACGCCCAATGAAACGGAACAAAGTTTTTTGCCCTCCATTTAAGTGTCAAAACACACCATCTTTACTCAAAATTCAAACAAATACCAACAATAGGTGTTTAACAATAACTTGCTTGAAGAGGCCTTAGGCAAAAAAACAGATCCATCCTTTCCATTAGGAGCCAAAACAATGGAAATTTGTAAAGTGTGAAATCATTGTATTTACAATATATTGTTAGGAACGTCCTGGCACTTAAGTGGGGACATTGGGAAAATGTTTCTGTAAATGAATTTGTTTAAACTTTATTTATTCAGCGTCTGCAATTTTTAATATCAGACTTTGGGGGGAAAAAACATGTTAATTGCTTAATGGCAAAAAAATTGTGAAGAAACAGATTTGGTTAAACTCTTATTTTTGCAAGGATATAACTTCACATTTTAAAAATAGCTTATAACTGATGTTTTAGGATGTGCAAGAGGAATCAAATATTCCTCAACAAAGAAAAACATGAAAAAAAATCCATTCATTCTATGCTATCTCTCTTTTGTATATCACTTTGGAGACATTCTGATTTTCATGTGCAGCATCTAAACAATCAACCTCCCTACTTCCTCCAGAAAAAAAATTAGAAATCTCAAGGCTCATGGACAAAATAAACAACCACAATCATACAAATATGGAGAATCTCTTTACAAGCCTCCAAGTTTTTGCAGCTGGTTTTGAGAACTTCTCTCATCTGCTTTGCAGGTTGTTAAAATTATTGTCTGATGTGTAATCACAAGGTACAGATGTACATGGAGGGGTTACCCTCAGTACTCTCTCTCATTCTCTCTCCTTCTCTCTCTCTCTCTTTCTCTCGTATCTCTGAGTCAACCATGTGTTTTGAAGAATATATTCTTACTATGAAATAAAAATCTCTCCAGAGACAAAATCCCAAGCCATTTGGCATATATCTCACAAATATCCAGAAATCCCCATAACGAATTGGAAGGAGACACAAACTTACAAACGTGACTGGTCAAGTTGCAATGCTCTTTATGCCTTTTCCACAAATCAATTATAAGAAGTTCAAAAAGACATTAATTCCAGAACAGAGACATTCTCTGTGGACAATTCCACAAACAGCCTCATACATCTAAACGTCAGACTTTCTTATGAGAACCATGTCTGATGTTGATACCATATCTGTCAACTCCCTGTCAAAACATATCTGTGAAGTGTTGCCTCTTTCATCTCAAGGGAGAGTCATCTGAGAGTTACACCAGGGGACCTTCAGTCTTAATAGCTCTCCAACCAAAGTATATGAAATTGGGTTTGGCATTTTTTGGGACTGAAATACCCATCCCACCTTTCCAGTGCATGCATGCACACACACACACACACGACCATATTTACTCTGTGTTGTCCCTGAGCTAGGAAAAATTTCAGGTGATATTTCTGAATGAATAGAAACCACCCTCTTCCAAATTAGCAGACTGATTTTCAAAGGAACCTGAGAGGGGTGCAAAAGCATCCGTTCTGCACCCCGATACTTACTTTATCCCAAAAGAAATTAAATTATGGGTCAAACGTTTAGAATGCAAACATGAGAATGGGGTTTTACATCATAAAGCAACTACATCTGGTTTTTGACCAGTCATCCTTTTTTTTGTTGCTGCGTGACATGAAAATACCTCATTTGAAACACACTTCTTTAAGATGTTTACATGTCACCATCTTGTATGTTCCCCCTTTTATACAACACCCATACAAATCAAAGGCTTTTTAGCAGTCTCAAGTTAAATATTTCCTGCCAAAGTCTGCTGTTTTGAGATGTTTATAAATATGCCACAAGGAATCATGTTGCCACAGTATACACCAAATACCAACCAAGGTACAGAAGAGGATTTGAAAATGACTGATAGCCAAATAGTAGCACTAAGAATGTTCAAACTAAATGGCCGAAATAAGCCTGGAAAAATATGCCTTTCAAAGTCACTTTATACAGGTACATGAAGTATGTTCCTGTACCTGAAAATTCACAATTCTACATTGTTTATTGTTCTTAAGAACTTCTCTTGAGCCCTTCTGCTAAACAAAAATGTCATTTATGCTATAAACTGTACATGTTTGCACCATGTGATGTCAAACAAAGATGATCATCAATGTTCAGACAGGGATTGTTTAAGAGACATTTAACCATTAGTATTAGGCCAACAGCTTGTAGGCAGGCAGTGTGATTCATCTGAACTAGAATCTGGTTGGAAAATGGCGCCAGTTGGACCAGTTACCGATCCAAAGCAGCCCTGGTCTGAACCATCATACTGTAATTAACTTATTACCCACCTGTGTAAGACACTCCAACACACCTCCAGAAGTCACTCTGAAAAAGAAACACAAACAGTCAGTTACTTAAACTGGAACAATGTAATAGAAATAAGTAAATAAATAAAAATTATAATTACATACATATGACTTGTACCATCTCGTTTCCTTGTGTTTGTTATCGTAATTTTACTCAAGTCTACCTTGGCTCATAAACAAGACACCAGTTCTTTCCATTTAAAAAAATTAATTTGAAAAAAAAAAAAAAAAAAACAACAACTTTATAATAATTTTTCTCTCTCCCCCCCCCAAAAAAAAAAGGCCACCCAGAGATATAAAACAATGTCACAGACAGGGTCACACACTGATAATTTACATCAAAAGTCAAGTTTATTGATATAAATGCAGTGATAAACACACACTGATACCTAAATGGGTAAATAATACACTTGTTTAGGAGTAGATTTTGGTGCCATTAAACTTAAAGCAGCCAGATAAAGACAACAAGGGCAATTTACCGCACCACACCATGAAAACAAGATCCTACTCTGCCTTCAGGGGCCCTGCTCCAAACTTCACCCAAACTAGACACATAACATATACCCAGGCCATCTAGACACCAAAACTTAAAAGCCAGAGCCCAAAAATACTCACCAACTATATCTTACCACATGCACACACATATACATTAACACAACGAAGAACAATCTCCTATAAATATTGTTGAACCCCCCCTGCAATCCACATGATTATGTTACCTTATTACATAGTCATACTGTCACACACACACACACACGCACACACACACACGCACACGCACACACACACACACACACACACACACACACCAGGGTATTGTCTCAATCCAGATAGTTCAATCACTGATAAGCAATTTGGTACAGTGAGAAATCTAAGACCAGAACAGCTTTGAATCTTCAATGTCTGAACACACCTGAAATTATGGATTAATAATAAAGTTTATGACTCCCCCCCCCCCTCCCCCAAACACTTCAATGGACAAATAATGTACTCTTTAGAAGAGGTATACGACTCCATCAAAACTATATTAGGAGACACAAGGCGGGTCAAATGGAAACAAATCATTGTGTGGAAGTAATTAAGACTAATAGCTCTAATAGCTCTGTAAACCTACGTCTAGACTAAGGATATACAGTGTGTCAGTGGTATAAAGGGTGGATGATTTATTTTCTCGTTATTGAGAACGTGGGGGCCACAGTCATGTTGGTATTTTCAAAACTGTGACTGCTCGAATCATGATTTATGCTATGATTATCAAGAGGATTCAGGTCTACTGCCATGTTTGTGTTTTAATACTTTGTTTACTAAACTGGAGATTTATGTTCTTCTCTTTATTGAACCAAGGTCCATATGCATTCATGACCAGGCATTCAAAATTGAATCTCTCTTATTACTGTGTGTGTGTGTGTGTGTGTGTGTGTGTGTGGATGTGTATGAGAGAGATAGAGAGAGATAAAGAGAGAGATTGAAAGCATCTATACACTTAAGATTAATCCAAAGATTCGCCAAAATTTTAATGAATTTTTTATTGTTCGAATTTGTGCCTTTAATGAAAACTTAATTTCACATATTTTTGTGCTCAATTTGAAAATTCATATTTTGGTAATCAGCTTCATTTTTAATTCAAATACTGATACTTGCCATTTATAGAACTTTTATACTAATACATTTTTTCTCAAGAGAGCAAAGACAAACAAGTGGGCAACAACAATAAAAATACTGATTTCAACCACAAAATTTCATTGTTTGAATTCTGCCAGACTTAAGGTACATTAAATTCAAGATATGTATAAACGTCTTCTCTGGGGAAACCCTAAGAACAATAACGTTTGCAAGTGTAAACAAATAACATGCCCAGTTTTTGCCATTATATTTTCTAAAATGTTTTCTCCGTGCAGGTGCCTTGCGGGCAAAGATCTATGTCACAGCTGCAAGAAGACATTCCACTCTTGACAACTTAGAATAAATAATAGCAAGTAAATATTCCACAAGATTGACTGAAATTGTAAATATGGCCACCAAATGGGCCTGAAAAACATTCCTAAAACCCCTGCACAACCCTCTTCCAATGAAATGTACTGCCCATTTATTTCTGGTTGCCATAGCAACTGAAACCAATTCCCTATGAGCAGTTGGATTCAGGTCCCTAAGTGGCCCATGTATTTCACTGCTCTACTGACCGGTCAACAAAAGATCAAGTTGTGAGATTTTTTTCACCACACTGTAGCATATCATCTAATGTTACTGAATGATAGACCATGGACTAAACAAAACCAGACCGTATTTCTGACCAATATCCAAAAATGGTGGTGTTTAAAATTTACAGTAATCATTCTTGAAATTTGCACAAAAAGAATAAATGAATTAAAACCCAACCNTACACACACATGCACACACATATACATTAACACAACGAAGAATAATCTCCTATAAATATTGTTGAACCCCCCCTGCAATCCACATGATTATGTTACCTCATTACATACTGTCACACACACACACACACACACACACACACACACACACACACACACACACACACACACACACACGCACATGCACACACACACACACACACACACACCAGGGTATTGTCTCGATCCAGATAGTTCAATCACTGATGAGCAATTTGGTACAGAGAGAAATCAAAGACCTGAAGTGTTTTGAATCCTCAGTGTCTGAACACATCTGAAATTATGGTTTGTATTTATGACTCCCCCCCCCCCCTCCCAAACACTTCAATGGACAAATAATGTACTCTTTAGAAGAGGTATACGACTCCATCAAAACTATATTAGGAGACACAAGGCGGGTAAAATGGTAACTTATCATTGTGTGGAAGTAATTAAGACTAATAGCTCTAATAGCTCTGTAAACCTACGTCTAGACTAAGGATATACAGTGTGTCAGTGGTATAAAGGGTGGATGATTTATTTTCTCGTTATTGAGAACGTGGGGGCCACAGTCATGTTGGTATTTTCAAAACTCTGAATGCTCAAATCATGATTTATGCTATGATTATCAAGAGGATTCAGGTCTACTGCCATGTTTGTGTTTTAATACTTTGTTTACTAAACTGGAGATTTATGTTCTTCTCTTTATTGAACCGAGGTCCATATGCATTCATGACCAGGCATTCAAAATTGAATCTCTCTTATTACTCTGTGTGTGTGTGTGTGTGTGTGTGTGTGTGTGTGTGTGTATGTGTATGAGAGAGATAGAGAGAGATAAAGAGAGGGAGATTGAAAGCATCTATACACTTAAGATTAATCCAAAGATTCGCCAAAATTTTGCAAATTCAAAAATTCGAATGAATTTTTTATTGTTCGAATTTGTGCCTTTAATGAAAACTTAATTTCACATGTTTTTGTGCTCAATTTGAAAATTCATATTTTGGTAATCAGCTTCCTTTTTAATTCAAATACTGATACTTGCCATTTATAGAACTTTTATACTAATACATTATTTCTCAAGAGAGCAAAGACAAACAAGTGGGCAACAACAATAAAAATAGTGATTTCAACCACAAAATTTCATTGTTTGAATTCTGCCAGACTTAAGGTACATTAAATTCAAGATATGTATAAACGTCTTCTCTGGGGAAACCCTAAGAACAATAACGTCTGCAAGTGTAAACAAATAACATGCCCAGTTTTTGCCATTATATTTTCTAAAATGTTTTCTCCATGCAGGTGCCTTGCAGGCAAAGATCTATGTCACAGCTGCAAGAAGACATTCCACTCTTGACAACTTAGAATAAATAATAGCAAGTAAATATTCCACAAGATTGACTGAAATTGTAAATATGGCCACCAAATGGGCCTGAGAAACATTCCTAAAACCCCTGCACAACCCTCTTCCAATGAAATGTACTGCCCATTTATTTCTGGTTGCCATAGCAACTGAAACCAATTCCCTATGAGCAGTTGGATTCAGGTCCCTAAGTGGCCCATGTATTTCACTGCTCTACTGACCGGTCAACAAAAGATCAAGTTGTGAGATTTTTTTTGCTACACTGTAGCATATCATCTAATGTTACTGAATGATAGACCATGGACTAAACAAAACCAGACCGTATTTCTGACCAATATCCCAAAATGGTGGTGTTTAAAATTTACAGTAATCATTCTTGAAATTTGCACAAAAAGAATAAATGAATTAAAACCCAACCTTTTTTTTGGTAATACTGGAAAACGTGTTATTTTTAAGCTTTGAAAAGTTAGTTGGCTTCATAGGGTGAAGTGCATTTCAAAGAGTAGTCAAAATTAATAAATCTTGGTTGGGGGGGGGAGGGGGTGTAATGAAATAAGTGACATTCGAAAATTTCAAGTAATTACCATATTCGGTGATTAAAATGTAATGGTCTATGACAGATTTCTTACGTATGCACATGCCCCAAAAANATTTTTAAGCTTTGAAAAGTTAGTTGGCTTCATAGGGTGAAGTGCATTTCAAAGAGTAGTCAAAATTAATAAATCTTGGTGTTGGGGGGGGGGGCGTAATGAAATAAGTGACATTCAAAAATTTCAAGTAATTACCATATTCGGTGATCAAAATGTAATGGTCTATGACAGATTCCTTACGTATGCACATGCCCAAAAAATAGGCACCTTACCAAAAGCCAAACAACAAGATCCATCTGCATAGGAAGATAGTAATTTAGTATTATAAGGACGAGACTGGTCACCTTTACATTCAGGTATAACCCTCAATAACTGCACTGCAGACCACTTTACGACATGGGGGAGGCAAAATACACACACAGAACACACAAACTTCCCAAACATTCTTCAACATTGCCCCACCATCTTGAAAATATTGACATTATTAGTGAATCATATGGGGAGTTGCTGTTGATGAAGGAACTACTTTGAACTTTCAACAACTGAATGCTATATAGAGTGAAAAAGGAGGGGGCGGAGTGGAAGGTTAATTGTGCTTATGTCAAATCTCAATGCAGCACATGCCCAAATGCATATCATACCTAAGATACAAAGACTACAAAACCAAGCTGCACCT